AGTGGGCAGGAGGTGAGGAGCTACAGGACAGAAAATCCAGAGCAGCAGATAGTGCATGTCATTATAAAAGCAGCCAGTTCACCTTGTCTTTTCTTCTTCATGGCATTGAATTCATTAAGTGGTTAGAAGCTTACCTGCAGCAGGCATAGCTGCTGAATATTGCTGTCTTGACAAGAATATAGGTATTCATCTGACTAAACTTGCTTCCAGTTAAGGGAAATAATGCAATATGAGTAATGGAATGGATTGAAGCCCAGGAAATGGACAATTCTTCTGAAGCAAAACAGCAGATTCTTAGATAAAAAGAATTTGTGTCCATCAGAAATGCTGCAAACCAGCTTCATGCAGTTTCTAAAGATAAATCACTGCTGAATTTAACTTCGAATTAACTAAATGCTGGCCAGAACACTAATGAGTTCAGTGAGGCTGAGAGCAAGAGGTTTTCAATACCATCACTCCAAATAACATGTAGCCACAACAATCTATGAGTCCATAGGCCAGGCATTCCCGACAGCCTTTGTTACCTAAACTCTGAAGCCTTTGTTTGTCTTCAGTATTTAAACTGAGTAAGAAAGTCGTAGGCAAAATGAGGCAAAAAGAAGCATTTAGGTGAGGTGGACTTGCATGCAACACCTGCTGTCAGTTATTTGGCAGATCAGGTAACAGGCATTACAGTGAGTATGGAAAACGGGAATATTTACAGGAGAAATGAGATTTATGAGAATAAATTGCTACAAAGATAGGAGCAGTATGCACACAGCAAAGTGGGATACTATGTTACGTCCTTCAGATTTGTTACCAAGTTCCTTGCTGTTCTTCCCCCAAAGACTTTTGTATGCCAGGCAATTTTGATAAAGTCATCAATCTTGTGTGCTTTTCTTGAGCATCTACCATTCTGGAGGCCTGGGGAAGAATAACTATCTGTTTTTAGCCAATAATAGGGAAACTGAAGTATCTCTGCTTTTTTTTTTACCATTGCCCATTCTCCTGCTTCTCTTAAATTGAACAAAACCCTAAAACTACATGCATATTAGCTTTACAGAAAGACACATAAATCTGTTGGGTTTTTTTTCCCACAACAGGACATTTGAAAACTAATAATCTCTTGCATGAATTTTACAGACCACCGTTGTCATTTTTGTAGATAGCCCTGTTCCCTTAGATTGAAATTAAGCAATGAATCTCCAAAAGCTAATAGGTTTAAATTTTGAACTTTTACTCTGTGTTGGGCAAAACATCAGGACAAGAACTGACGTGCTGACACCTGAATATGTTTGGAGAGAGAAAAAGGATATTGGTCCCTTAAAGCCATCTTTCCTGGAGTTTTTCCACCTTCTGTCCCTGTAAATTGCCACTGGAGTTGTTGTTCTAGCAGCACTAATGGCAATTAGGATCTGAAACCTCTCAGATCAATTAAAGCAGGCAGTATCGGGCAGCAGGAGATCTGCTGCTGGATTGGCTGGCAGCATGTCTTTTCCCAAGCTGTCATTGTCCTTGTCCCTATATACAGAGATGATAAGTAGAAATGATTTACAGTAACAGATAAGAACAGTGTCTTTTCTTGATGTCTCATGGACCACCTTTGCCTTTAGAATAAATCTTGAGTCAAGAATCACTAAGCCTAAAATATAGACACAAAAGGCTTACATCTCTAAATAACAATTATCAGATTCCTTTTTGCAATAAGCAGAAGGCTTTTTCATCTATCTAGAAATCTATTTAATATTTAATGGACTTCTAAATTATTCACAGGTTAAAGTGTTCAACTGTTGCTGTCATTTAAAGAGCAAGTGCCCAGCAGGAGTCTTGCATGGGGCTTTGTAGATCACGTCAAAGCATAATGTTTGATTCATTAAAGAAATGTTACACTTCCAAAGGTAATACGATGCAATTTATATTCTGTTAATCCTGGCCTGACTAAGACATGGTGACCTTTCCTGTTTTGATTCTTGCCCACCTGCTCAGTAAAACTTTTCACTGTCCCACAACAAATTTGAGATCCCAAGTCATCTGGTACTGTTCCAAGAAAATCTGCAAACTCTTGTTAGGTGGAGAAACTTTTGGGTTTTTACTGCAGTCTTGGATAACTAAACAATATGCTTAATTTTGAGAGGAGTTTAGAACAATGCTCAGCTTTCTGAAAATAGTATGCACAAATAGAATATCTAGAGCTGGACACTGATGTAAATCAGGTTAACTCCCCAAACTTTGTCAGAAACTGGGATCTGCTTTTTTTGCCTCTTAAAGAAATGTCATCCATGCTCTTCTGATTTCCTCAATCTTTCCCTGCTCAAGTAGAGTGAAGGTAGTGAAATTAAGTTCCCAAGATTTATTTTTGCTTTTCGGTGTCTACTCAAATCCCTTGAAAACTTTGTTAAAAAGCACTTCTGGAAAATAAAACAGGAAAATTTTCTATGAAGGAAGTTCTCTTCACTTAAAAGCCTCTTTGGCAAGGACCGTCTTTCCTACTCTGCATTTTGTAAGCAGCTTTTACTACTGGGTATTGGTTTGTGCAGTTCCTCGGTCTCATCAGTAATCTAAATAACTTGAACATAATGAAAGCTTCTTTTTTTTTTTTTTTTTTAAGTGCCTATCCTCTGTATATTCCTGCCCCATGGGGTCCTTTGACTGTGATGCCATGTGAGGGTCTGTGTCCTGAAGAACTTGGTGGCAGTGGTTGGCAGCACGGATGCTGTGGCTGTATCCAAACAACCATCCTGACTGTTCCCCAGGCACAACTTACCTGTTTGGAGAGGGCAAAGCCTAGGTCTTTCCTCAGTGCTCTTGGGATTTTGGGAATGTGGGAAGGAAGCAGCTGTGCTGGGGCTACCCCAGCAGCAGGGTGGCAGCCCTTGGACTTGCTTTCCCAGCAAGAGCTTTGCTGAGGCATTTATGAACTTTTTGTCTCTAATAGGAGGGAAGGAAAAAAATCAAGACTTGTCTTACAGAAACTTGACTAGCTTGCTGTTGATTGTAGCGATGGGGAACTCAAAAAGGATAAAGGCAAGTCACCTAAGAATTTCTTATTAGGTGTTCACCAAGATCTTTTACCAGTGAGAGGAAGATGTGCGTAAGCTGGGATAAGCCTTTCCATTTATATGCTCATAAGAAACCGCACATTGTTTAGTACTGATTTTCCTCAAGAGAGGGAGTTTAATTTTCTGTTTTATGGACAGGTTTCTCACCAAACAGTATATATTTTTTACTCTGATCTACAATACGAGCAATCATATACCATCTAGAAATATAGAGTAGATGTAAAGGAGGGGAAGACCCTAAGCAGCCCTTGTAAAACGCCTAGGATGAGGGGGAATGACTGCAGTGTTTTCACAGGGTCCTGAAGGTAGAGTCTTCTTAAGAAACATCAGAAAGATGGGAAAATGGAGGCATTAATGTCCATGGATCTTCAGCTAAAGTCCAGGAATCATTCCCATTTGTGCTCACACATACCAGCTGACCCTGCTCCCAGAGCACTGATTTCAGTCCTCAGAGCTGCTATTGTTTTTTTAAAGCTGCTGTGCTGATTCTCCAAAGGGTGCTGGATTTTCATTTGATCAGTTACAGAGTTATCTATCCTTGGCTGTTAATTGCATGGAGAAATTTCTCCATGAATTGTTTTTAAAGTCATAATGGCATTATTTCTTACCATATGTCTGTAAGGTTTTGAGTGGAAGGAAACTAAACTGCTCTAATATTATTTCACGTAATTTCAGATATTTGTGTTCATTTTGGGATTTGGGGGCTTCCTTAGGTTGTGTGTTTGCTTCGTAGATAAGACCATCTGAAATGGTTACTATTGGGCATTTATCTCTATGAGAAATAGTTCCTTTAAGCGCATTCTGTGCAAGAGTGGAGAGGCTAATCCTGTGTCTCTGACAGAGAGTTATTTTTACATAATTATTTGTCCAGCCCCTCAGTAACATGATATCAGGAAACAAGAATGATAATGTGACACTGCTAAGTGAACTCCAGTCAAGAAACTGAGGGGACTTTCTTGGGATTGGAAACTTGATATAGTCTTTTCCTTTGTCACAGAGGTGTGTTTTCCAGCAGATAGACGTGTTGGATTTTTCCAGCAGTAAAGTACATGATTTATTGGGGAGTCACCAATTGCCATGTTTCAGAGAAATAGAATGAATGACAGGTTGGAAAGGGAAGACAAGGAAACAGCGTGTGCAGAGACACAGTAGGAAATCTCCCAGCGCTGCAGTTGGGTGAAGAGCCTGCAGGGCTTCTCTCTGCATCAGTGTCAGCATCTCTCCCACGCAGATTTTTAAGCACATACTTGGACCTCAGCGGAAATCAGCCAGGAAAATATTGTGAGATAAGTACTCTGGAGTTGTATACAGCTGTCATTTGCGGAGCACAAATTTGCTTATAGTCTTTTTTACCTTCAGTCACAGTTTGATTGTGAGGCTAAAGCATGGAGTACATACTGGTTGTCTCAGGCATCTCATTTACCTCCAGGTGTAAAATGCCGAGTGGGTCAGTCCTTCTAAAGTAGGTCTCCCAAGTTTCCATCCTCAGTGGAGAGCTGGGTTTTTCCTGACGGCCTCCAGCAGGAGGGTCACTGGACTTTGGACACTCTCCTGCACTATGGAGGAGCTGGAATCCCTCCCGGAGGCTTTCAGGGGCTGTCTGATGGCATAGGGGGATGTGGGTATGTACTCTGCTAGATACAGGGCAATCCAAGTGTTCAGGCAAAGAGTATATGACTTCCAGTTCCTTCCCAGTGCCAACTCTGTCAGAGGCACCCAATGATGGGGAACCTTGCTCTGCACCATAGGTGGGGTATGAGGTGCAACCTGGAACAAGGTGAGGGTTTTCTCTGTAATGTATTTTAGACAACACAAGTGCTGCCTGCAGGAAAAGTTGACTGGTCTGTGCTTTGTCTTGGCATGTTTGGATTAATGCTGCTACCTTATTTCAGCATTGGGTGGTGGAAGATGAACAAGGTGTGTGTATTAAGAGCTGTTTCTGCTCTGGTTTCTGTTTCCCAGGGATATGAAGCTGGACGGTGGACGCCAGTGCCATTCTACCGGGGTGTGTCTGAAAGAGATAATTGGTCTTGAAGGTGTGGAGCTCGGAGCGGATGGGAAGGTGGGGATGCTTCAGTTCCTACTCCCTTAGTTTTTACGTAATAAGGGAAAAAATGGCTTAAGTAATAACAAGCACAAATATAAACAAATTATAACATGCAGTGTAACACAGTAGTTGAAGCACAGTATGTGCAAATTTTAAATTAGCTTAGCAGAAATTCAGGAGGAAAGCCCAAGGTGTCAGTGCAAACAACTCTGTCTCCTTGAAAAAATTTGCCTCTGGCAGCTTCTGAGCCTGTAAAGCATTACTGAATTGATCAGCCTTCCCCTAGCTCCAGCAGGAGGTATCACTGCAGAGTATATTGTCAGGGGCTTGAAACTAATTTATGGTGAGAGTTGTAAGCTGTAATTCTGTTTGCTCTCAATTTTATTTAATATATTTTGCCTAAGAGTGTGTTTTTCTAAAGAGCAGGAATTCATTAGTAGAAATATGATGAGTATTTCAAAATCCAAGCGTACATTCTCTTGAATAGAATAAGTAATTACAAATCTTTAGAGGAAGTGATCTGTTTTAAATGAATACATAGAGGAGAGACAATTTTAATCACAAGTGAAAACATTTTTTGCTGAAAGCCTGATATACTTTTTACCGTTCAATTACCCAGTCTGCTGTCGTATATGGATTTAAAGACCCTAAGTCAATGCTGCTACACATGGTGTGCTCACCTAACCAGGTGTCAGGCCAGACCACAGGCTGTAAATTCCTGAGGACAGTCTGTCTGTTTATAAATAAATGAAAGCTCATATGTTTTGTTTGATACCTGTTCTGACCTCCTCGTAAACCAGTCTAGCATCTGAGACTTTTTTTTTGGTCAAGATAATGTTATTTTTGGAAAATAAACCTACAAGAAGCAAGGCATAGCTTATTCCTGGCCTAGAGTACAAGCAGAGAATCAGTATGCTCTAAAAATAGTTTTGTCACAAGATTTTCATTCACACTTAGTCCATGTTGGGCGGTAGTAAATGGTCTTCCACAACATTGCTATAAACTGGAACTCAAAACACCAGTAAGACTGCCAGAGAAAATCCTAAAGGAGAAAAATACCAGAGAAAGTGCTTAAGTTTAGCAGTGTTCAAGTGATTTGCCTCTGGTAGCTCTGTGCTGAGGGACCCCTATAGATGATGCTGTTTCAGTAAAGAAACAGCTGAAATCTGCTACAGAGAAGGCCCACTGAAAAAAAACCCAACCAAACTGACATAGTTTTAAATCTGACCCTTGAGGAGGATTTTGGAAATCCAGTGTATTAGAGCTTGTGTGTATGTGTTTGTGGTTTTGTTTTGTTGAAGAACTAATGCCTTTGCAAAAGCTTTTTTTTCATGGATAATCTGACTGCGCTGAAGCAAATGTAGGTGACTGGTGTTTATTCATCTGTGCCTAACTATTAAATCCAGAAAATCCTCTGCTAATTTGGCTTCCCTTGCTTCCAATTGGGATGTACCAAAGGCATCCTGCTGCGGCCAAGCCGGGCTGCGAGTAACTGTCTGTCCATTCTGACCTTCTTTTTAGACGGTTTCTTATACACAGTTCCTATTTCCCACCAATGCTCTGGGAACTCGGAGAAACACGATAGACTCCACCTCATCCTTCTCCCAATTTCGCAATGCAAGCCATCGTAGCCTTTCTTTGGCAAGAGCTAACAGCACCCAGGGGAGTATTGATGCAGGTAAGAAGCTTGTTTTAATATCCTTAGGAGCCCTGGTAATAGGAAGTTATTGTGAAGGACAGATATATATCATATTTTAGCCCCATTTTTTTGCTTAAAATAAGCAAAATACAGTCTCATATTGTGGGTGAAACACAGCTGTTTGTTTAGCAAAGTTGGCTTATGGTTGATGGAAGGTTAAGTAAACAAGACCGCTGGTCATATTGACAGCCCCTGATGACACTTGATGTGCCTCCTCCTGTCACTGGCATTGTTTTTTTCTCCTGCATCAGGCTCATCCTTAAGCCTCCTTTGCTATGGAAAATTTACAGTGGCAACATGGTAGTCATAAGCTGAAGGTGTAAATCATACTTGTGACCTTTATTAGACTGGAGAAGGGCTATGTTTACAAAACGAGGCACAAAACGTTAAGCCAAAGCACTATATGCTTAAGATATTTTGGCATGTTAAATGAAACAAATCAAAACATTGCATAAACAGATGAAAACTTGCTGCCAGGAATAAAAGTAATTGTGGAGCTTTATATAATTCTGCAGTTCTCTAAGCCCTAAATTCACATTTAACAGGTAATTCATAAGCTGTAGGTCCTCTGTATCTTTGCAAATTGTGTTAGTATTGAAATACTTAAAATTTTCAAGGTTTAGAGAAATATTTCAACTCTTTCAAAAATCTTGCATGAAGATCATCTTGTGTGTTATCTGTGAACTTATTTGCTACTTCTGATAAATCCAGAGATTTCTTGGTGTAATTAAATCCTTTCTTGTATTTACCAATGTTTTATAGGTAGCGACCTGGGAGACTTTGTTGAATATGACCCAAATCTTTTAGATGATCCCCAATGGCCATGTGGCAAACATAAGCGGGTTTTAATATTTCCTTCGTATATGGTAAGTGATATGCAAAATTAAGTGTAGCACAGATAAATTTTGGTAACAGTATTTTGAAGATTGAGGTTACATTTGGCTGTATTTTAAGAAGATTATTATTATTTTTAATCTACCAATAACAGCTGTTTGGAATGCTTTGTTCTACATGACAGTTACTTACCAGGACATGTAAAAACAAACTCGTGGAGGTATTACAAAAGTAAACGCTTTTATTACCACTGTATTTCATAAATGCTTTAGATGAAAGACCTGTTCGAACAATGTGTTCATTCTCTTGCATTCAGAGGAAAATTTATACATCCTCTAATTGGCATCTGTTACAAAATAGGAGGGATGCCCATTAGGGTTTTTCTGAAGTCGTGAAGCTGCATTGTGTTTTGATGCTTATCATTGACTCCTCGAAAAAGCACTTTGGTGTCTACCTTTGTTTCCCAGGTATTTATTTCACCATGGGGTAGTCCTTCTTTTAATTTCAGCAATTATGAGCAGAGCCTGGGTATTTCCCACTATATCCAAACCCATAACTATACAGACACATAACTGTTTTGATCTGTGCTCTAACTCAGTGTTTTCTGTGGTGACAGGCTTCTATAGCCTTTTTTCAGTTGCACCAAGTCTGTAGACTATTTTGGCAGGACTGTTGCAAGATGCAGTGCTGTTGTATGCATGTGAGCATGTATTTGTCTGAATTATACATCCGCAGGGAGCAGGGAAAACCTTTTTTTTTTTTTTTTCTGAAGTGGTGACCTAATACTCTTATCTATATACAAATAGGATAGAATTCGAAATGCTGAGGTCTGAAGTGTTGTCCATGTCCTCACTTAACTCGGAACAGCAGATACTATTTAAGAAACTGCTGATGTATGTAAAGATAGAGTTATTCTTCTGCCCCCCTGATCTTTATTTGATAATAGGGGTCCTGGGTGCTCCTTCTTCAAAACAAATGGATTTTAAATGTTTCATGTAGCTTGAAGCTTATCTTCTTGCTGGCAGGAGTTCTGCCTGTTGCACAGAGAGGCTTAATAGACCTCTGATGCTGTGTTTGTGCTAAATTTTCAAATGGGAAGTCCAATATGTCCTCTGATTACTTTCAGCCAGATTTACTTTTAGGGTTGGCAAGTTATTTTTTGGCTGCCAACCCACAAAGTATCAACATTTTATGGCAGCTACATCTGGGTGGGAAAATATTTGTTAAGTTTTGATCTGGTTATTGTCATGGACAGGGAACTGTCTTGCCTCAAAGAGAAAGACGATGTTAACCAGCATCCAAAGTGAATATAGCTTTAGCAGTTGTGGTTGTGTTTCTAACCTTCCTCAGGCTGCAAATGTGTGCCAGGCAATCTGAGTCCTCTACAGTCACCTGAGATCTTTGATTGTTTTTCAACTCGGTGTTGAGATGGTTGAGTGAGTCAAAGTAGGGCAGCCAGGATAGAGTCCTTCAGGGGAAGTCTCTGCTCAGGAGTGGGTGTTGAATGCCCTTCTTTCCATAATGCTGGTTAACCACAGCTTTTTGAGGTCTGTATTTGTACTTTTATTACAAAAAGGAGCTGACTGAGGATTTCCACTGTGTGATGGGTTGACCTTGGCTGGTTGCCAGGTGCCCAGCAAAGCTGCTCTATCACTCCCCCCTCCTCAGTTGGACAAGGGAGAGAGAACGTATCAAATGGTTCACGGGCTGGGATAAGGATAGGGAGATCATTCATCAGTTAACTGTCATGGGCAAAATAGTCTCAACTTGGGAAAAGTAACTTAATTTATTGCCAATCAAATCAGAGTAGGGTAATGAGAAATAAAACAAATCTCGAAACACCTTCCCCCCACTCCTCCCTTCTTCCCAGGCTTGACTTTACTAGCAATTTCTCTACCTCCTCTCCCCGAGCAGTGCAGAGGGACAGGGAATGGGGCTTGCGTCAGTTCATCACATGTTGTTTTTGCCACTGCTCCCTCCTCAGGGGGAGGACTCCTCACATTCTTTCCCTGCTCCAGTGTGGGTCCCCCATGAGGTCACAAGTCTTGCCAGCAAACCTGCTCCAGCGTGGGCTCCTCTCTCCATGGGTACACAGGTCCTGCCAGGAGCCTGATCCAGCATGGGCTTCCCATGGGGTCACAGCCTCCTTTGGTCATCCACCTGCTCTGTTGTAGGGTCCTCCACGGGCTGCAGGTGGATTCTGCTCCACCGTTCACCTCCATGTGTGCAGGGCACAGCCTGTCCCACCAGGGGCTGCACCACGGGCTGCAGGGGAATCTCTGCTCTGGTGCCTGGAGCACCTCCTCCCCTCCTCCTTCACTGACCTTGGTGTCTGCAGACTTGTCCGTCTCACATATTCTCAGTCCTGTGTCCAGGCTATTGTTCTGCACAGTTTTTTCCCCTTCTTAAATATGTTCTCATAGAGGCGCTACTACCATCGCTGATGGGCTCAGCATTGGCCAGCAGCAGGTCCATCTTGGATCTGGCTGGCATTGGCTCTATTGGACATGGGGGAAGCTTCCAGAAGCTTCTCACAGAAGCCACCCCTGTAGCGCCGCCTGCTACCAAAACCTTGCCACACAAACCCAGTACACACTGTGACAGAGGTATGACTAGATACTTTGAAAAATGGACTTCAAGGGCAATTGTTAAAACTGGTGTCATTGTTGGTCTGGAATATATCTGCATTGATGGGGTCTCCCTGCTTTTTCATTTTCTCTAGGGGTTAATTACTGCTGTGTCTAGAAAAATGTCTTGATTTAACATTTGGGGGGGTTGCCTGAATTTGCCTTCCAGGCGTCACTTCTTCAGCACTGCCCGATGGTCTGTAACACTCCTGTCTCCCTCTCTGAAGGCAGGCACCAGTCTAAGAATGGGCTGAAGGGCATTAAGTGCTGTGTTTCTTTTGTTGGTGGGAATCACAGGTGCTTGCCGAGAGCTCACTTGTTCAAGGATTTTGCTTGCCCCTGGTTGAAGCAGCATAGCTGTGATGCCGTGCGGGAGCTACACAGCTCTGCAAGAAGCCGAAGGTGGTTTTTCTTTAGTGCTCTTAGCTGAGAGATTTCACAAGGGGCTGGTGCTTCCTTCAGCTGAGAGAAGAGAGAAAAGGTAGTGCCAGCATGTCCTGGGAGCTTACAGGTTAAACAGGATTTTGCAATTTGGGCTGTGGATAAGGAGGGCTTGTGCATTGCACTGGTGAATATAGGGCCATTTTGACTATGTAGGAGACTTTACTTGCATCCATACTAGACTTTCCTGACTCAGCTAGTGTTCACCCTCCCTGCAGTTCACATCAGTGTGAAAAGGAGTGTAATAGGCTGTAATTTCAAGTCATTTTCTTCCCCAAATATAAAAATCGGCGTATGCTGCAATTAAAGTAAATTGCAGTCTGAGGCCAGCAAGAAACCTGTGTTTTTTTCCTGACCATGCACAGCCATCGCGGTAGTGACAGACCTCTGCCAAATGACCGCGGAGCTGTAGAGCTGCTGTACACAGACTGAAACCAGTCTCTGGTCCTGAGCAGAATATAGCTGTAATTACTGCCTCTCGTAAGTGCCGGAGCAGCTGAGAGCAGCTCTGATGTCAGCGCTGAACATTTTGTTGTGTGTGGAGAGCTGCAGCTTGTAATTAAAGTTTCGTTACTTGGCCAGCGTTTAACATTAACGCTTGGCAGCTGAAAGCTTATAGACATCCCCCCCGCCCTCCTTACAGATGTCAGAGCAATTAATGATGGAGGAAGGTGTGCGAGAGGTGTGTAACCACGTGGCAGTTATGGATAAGCAAGGCTGGATGCTGGGCTGTGACGCTGACTGTGGGGTAGAGCTCTATGCACTGATATTACTTCTAGGAGCCAGGCTCGTGCTTTGCAGGCCCGGATTTCTCCACTGCTAAAACTCTGTTGAGGTCTGTGTGACTGCTGCATCAGGAAACACTGCAGGTTGATCCCAAGGCATAAGACGGACAAAATGTGTGGTCTGGATTGGATTTTACTTTGAAATACATGCAGTGAGCACTCGACAGGCAGTTCCTTCCATTTTTGTGGAGTCTGAGTTTATCATCACCGACATTGACTTGATAGTCTTGTAATTTTACAGAGCTGAATTAGTCCTGACTTGCAGAGGATTTTTAACTGCGAGTCCTCAGCTGTTTCCAAGGAGTAACTGAGCTTCCTTCTTGAAAATAGCTGTGAGGAAGGAGAAGTGCTTTCAGTTTGGTCTTTTTTTTTGCAGTGAAGTTCCTGGCTTGAAGAGTATACACTTCCCTGTTGCATTTCTAAAAGTAGTACCCACGAACAGCCTGTCAGGGGACAATTCTGAAAAAGCAGCTTCAGTACTTTCCTGTCACAAACTCTATGGCTTCTATTAATTATATTAGTCATATTTAAATTCTGGTCTAACCTGGAGAAATTATTTTGCTTTGTGTTATCTTTGTAGGAGAGTCTACAATCTCTGCCGCAGTATAAACAGTAAGAGGTAGAAAAACTTCATGCTGGGGGTGGGGGAGGAGGGAAACATCATGTCATGGTTAACAGATGTCTTCCTGGCTGATAATGCTAAAGCAGGAATTCTTGCAGATTCTTAAATCTCTCTAGAATAGGAACTTTATCTACCAGACAAAGCAGTAATTTCTTTGCTAGAGTCTCATGTCAACCAGCGTACATCCAGACTTGTCGGTGTCTCCCTGGCCTCCCTGCATTTTTGCCAGCAGAAACAAACTCCTTCCATGCAGAAGGAGAAAACTCACTCTGCAACAGGCATGAGGTTGACCCTGCAGTCCTGCTTTTGTTGGTAACACAGAAACACAGGAGTGTGTTAGCTGGCTGCTGTATGCTGCCAAAATTTGCAGCAAAAGAAGAAAAGCCCAGATCAGAAGCATCTTGACTTTGAGTGACCCTTCTGTAATAACATCCCTGCAATATCCATCTATCCATGTCCAAGGGATTCACTTGGAAATTGGTTTGGGTACTTAACGACAATTTCAGTAGATTGGTTTAATTATGTAAAAACAAATTGACATCTCTACACCACTAATA